AAAGATGTATTTTTAATTCACTTTATGTCTAGTTTCCATATGTTGTTTGCTATTGTGAATGACGTTCTTCCTTCTTTTGCAGTATCTAGCTGGTTACTGTGGGATGCGGACTGTCCTGTTACCTCCCTCTCCTTTTTCCCTCCTAATGATCTCTTTCCCTGCCGTCATAGGTCTGTCTCTTGGTTTTCTGTCATCTGTCTTTCATTAATTATTTGCTTATCGACTTATATATGCTTTAGGTTTCTCATATAAGAGAAATAATTATTTTTCTTTTTTTAAATTTTTAAAAATTTTTTTAATTTTTAATTTTTATTTTTTAATGCGGTACTGGGGATTGAACTCATGACCTCTCGCTTGCCAGGCAGGCACTTACGCCACTGAGCTAAATACCCAGCAATAATTAGTTTTCTGAGTCTGGCTAATTTCACTTAACAGAATAGTTTCTAATTCTATTCATTTTCCTGCAATTGGCATTATTTCATTCTTTATGGCTGGATGATATTGTATTGTGTATGTAACAAATTTTTCTTTATTCGTTTATGTATTCCTAGGCGTCTAGGCTGTTTCTGCAGCATAGCTATTGTAAACTGTTGCTGTGAATGTTGATATGCATATATCATCAGAGTATGAGTCTTTAATTCTTTTGGGGATATATTTAGGAGAAGTATAGCTCGGTGAAGTAGAATTTCCAGTTTTAGTTTTTAAGGAAACTGCATACTGATTTCCATAGTGGTTGCACTAATTTATGTTCCCCAAAACAATGTCAAAAGGTCCCTTTTCCTAACATCCTTGCCAGCATTTGTCTGTCTGCTTAAATGCTTGATGGTAGCAATTTTGACTGGGATAAAGTAGAATTTCTGTGTAGTTGTAGTTTGCATTTTTCTGGTGGCTGGAGATGTTGAACATTTTGTCTTATACTTTCTGAAAGCTTAAGCTTTTTTGGGGAAGTGTCTATTCAGTTCATTTGCCCATTTTTAAAAGTTGAGTTCATTGTTTCTCTGGGGTTAATTTTTTGAGTTTTAAAGTTTACCCTAGATATGAATCCTCTATCAGAATAGCTAGCAAAGGTTTTCCCTCATTCAGTAGATCGTGTCTTCAGGCTGTTGTTTCCTTTGCTGTGCAGACTTTGAAGAGGATGTGTTTCCATGTATTGATTCGTGATATCCTGTGGTCTTGGAGTCCTCCGCAGGAAGTCCTTGCCTGTGGCTTCTTGATGCAGCAGTGTGCCCTGTGCTTTGCAGCCGTCTCAGTGTTTCTGGTTTTATAGCTAGGTCTGGGCTACTTCGATGTGATTTGGTGCAGAGTGCGAGTCAGGCATTTAGTTTCACTTTTCTGCGCTAGATGTCCAGTTTTCCCAGTGCATTTGGATCCCTTTGAAAAGTTGGTGCCTGGATTTGTTTCCATGTCTCCTAATCCACTGGTACACAGTACTGTTGTATGCCGGTACCTTGCGGCTTTTGTTACTGTGGTTTACACTACAGGGCGAAGTGTGGGGTGGTGAGACCTCCATCACTGCTCTTTTTGCGCAAGATTGCTTTGGCTGTTGTGGGTATTTTTTGAATTCAAATGAAATTCAGAATTGCTTTTTGTAGTTTTATGAAAAATGTTGGTATTTAAATAGTGATTGCACTTAATCTAGACATTGCTTTTGTAATATGGCTATTTAAGCACAATTAACTCTGCTGATCCCAGAACAAGATATACCTTTCCATTTTCTAATGTTTTCTAAAACATCCTCGGGATTTTATAATTTTCATTGTGGAGGCCTTTCAATTCCTTCATTAGGTTGATCCTTAGGTACTTAATTTATTGAAACTATTGTACATAGAATTGATTTTTTTGCTCTTGTTTTCTAGAGTAGGAAGTATTTTTTGAGATAAATAAAGCTGTCTGAGTGAGACAGAAGGGGTCCCGAATAGGTGGTTTAAATCTTAATGTGATGTTGATTTTGCTTGCAACCATCTTACTGAGGATTGCTGCATCTAAGAGATAAGATCCACAACACATGTTACAACATGTACCATAGTAAAAGACACTGACATTCGTGCCCTTCAGATTATTCCCCATCTTTGAACACACTTATCCTGCCATTCTTGCTACTTTTCTGAAGTAGCTTTACAAATCCTTTTTTGTGAGTGTCTGTAGTTACACTATTGTCACTGCCTCAATGTCCTGAGTGAATTAAAAAGTTTACCCTTCTGCACTTTTATGTCCATTTTCATTTAGGTGAAGAGCCAGAAATTGCACAGTACAAGATCTGCTGAGTAAAGTGCGTGAGGACACACTGTGCTTTAGGAGCTTGCTTTTCCTTTGGGTGGCACTGAGCAGCAGTGTTCACTGTGTTTTGGTCATGCCTCATACAGACATGAAGGAGGATGTCTTGGGTGGTTTTCTCTCATTGCTGGGACAAAATACCTGACACCCAAAATGAAGGAAGGAAAGTTTTAATTAGCTCACTGTTTGTGGAGGTTTCAGACCATAATCAGCTGGCTCCAAGGTAGGGTGGCGTGGCACTGTGGCGATACTTAAAGGCAGCAGCCAGCGAAAGCAGCCAGAGAAAAAGGGGTGGGGCAGAACAAGCCTCTTCTCTTCCCTTATATTGTGTGTGTGGGGGACCCCTGCACCTCCGAGGGCAGAGGGCAGAGGGCAGAGGGCAGAGGGCAGAGGTAGCACTCACAAAACCTCCTTGCCCTCCTCTTGCACAGGATGAGGATATTTACAAAGCAAGGATCCTGGCTTCCTGCTGAATCTCTTAGTTAAACTTCTGAACTTCTCAAGTTGACACAATGTATCAACCGTAAATGGAAGACTTCCAGCACTGCTTCAGAAAGTGCTAAGAACAGTAGGCTGTGTTTAAAGCTAAGTGGGGTATTGTGAAGGGGATTTGTGGCAATATGTCTTTTACTGCATTACATTTTAAATATGTAACAGTCATAATCCCAGCACTCCGGATCCCAGCTGAGGTGGGAGGATCATTGCAAGTTCCAGACCAGACTGGGCTACAAAGTGGGGTCAAGGCCAGCCGGAACTGCGTAATGAGGACCTATCTCAAAAAAGACACACACACAAAACTTTTAGCATTCACCTTATATTTTTATCATATCTCATTTATTCACCAAAGATATTGGTCTGTAGTTTTTCTTTCTGTTGTGCTCTCATCTGAGCTTAATGTCAGGGCAATGCTGACCTCATCGAGTAAATTTGGAGGAATTGCTCCCCTTTCTATTAGGTGGAAAACTGAGCATGGCTGTCAGTTTTTCTCTTAAGAGCTGACGGAATTCAATCATAAATCCATTTGGATCTAGACTTTTCCACTTCATGGAAGTTTAATTATTGCTTCAATCTCATTGCTTGTTATTGACCTATTTAGATTTTTTTTTATATCTTCTAGTTTACATTAGTTGTATGTGTGTAGAAATGTATTCATTTCGTTTTTTTTTTTTTTTTTTTGTCTTTTTCCTTTTTGTCGGTACCAGGGATCAAACTCACGACTGCCTGCTTGCAAGGCAGGCGCTTATGCCGCTGAGCTAAACCCCCAGCCCCAACACACTTGCTTTCTGCTTACAGCCACTTAGTGCATGGTTTTTTTGGTATCTGGAATCAAACTCAAAACCATGCAGTTGCCAGGCAGGCACTCATGCCACTGAGCCACATCCCTGGCCTGAGTATAATTTTTCATCCTTTGATTTTCAATCTGTGTGTCTTTGTACATGATGAGTATCTTGCAGGCCTATAGTTGGGTCTTGCTTTTTGATCTACTCTGTCACTTGGTGTCTTCTAATTATAGAGTTGAGATTATTTACATAGTTATTATTGAAAAGTATGTACTAATTCCTACCACTTTGTTGTATTTATGCTTGATTAATTTTTGTTGTTCACTCATTTATTGTCTTTCCCAGTGAGCTTTATTCTTCCCCTGTGTCTCATGGTTGTATTTTTGGTCTGCATTTAGGATTGCCTTGAATATTTCTTGCAATGCTTGCTTGGTAGTCATGAATTTATTTACTTTATAGTTTATGGAAGGTGTTCATTAGTTCTTCAGTTTTTAAGGATAGCTTTCTAAGGATAGTAATCTGGGCTGGCAATTATTTTCTTTTAGGGCTTGAAATGTTATAATATGATAAATTCTTTTCAATTTTATTTGCTTTTCTTTAAGAATGGACTTAGTTTTAAAATTACTTGTTAATTGTGTTCTTATTGATTTTGTAATATGCCACATTGTAAACTTTCTAAATCACATCTTTGGCTGCCATGGTTTGGGAAATAGTATTCTAAGTCCTCAATTCTGAGACGAGAGAAAAATTTCTCCATTGGCTTCTTATCTATATATTAAAAATTCTATACAGCAGCATTAGCAAAAGTAATGAGTGTAAGTAATGAATGTAAGTAATGAGTGTAAGTCATATAATAAACTCAGTAATGTGCTTTTTGGGGTGATTCATATTATGTTCTTCATTAAAGCCTAAGAGTACTTTTAAATAGATTAACATATGCTAATTTATGAATTATAAACAATACAGGAAATTAATGTGAGACTTTTTGGGGGGAGGGTACTAGGGATCAAACACAGGACCTTGTGCTTGCCAGGCAGGCACTCATGCCGTTGAGCTAAAACGCCAACCCCATAATGTGAGACTGTTATAACACACTGTGTTTTGTTTATAAAGTAAACTCTGAAACAGAATTATTATTTTTATAGTTCCCAATGCATAGTTTCTGCAGGTTTTATATATTTAAAATTTACCTGAAGAGTACTTAAATAATACATAGTAATTTGGAACAAAGGAATTGCTCAGAAATCAACTATCCAAGGATAACCCTAATCAAGAAGGCCAAAAGAAATGATGGTTTTTTCAAAGCAGGGCAAAGAAGTGGGAGATAAGGATGAGATTATTTGCAATAGGAAAACCAGGGGAAAAGTCCCTTTATATAGGTTGGTTTTTCTCATTAAGATGTCAACTTCTGTGTAGTGATTTATCAGTTACTTTCTTCTTATTCAGAAACTAATATTGAAGGATTTGAAGTGGCACAGAAGACGGGATTCCCAGGAGGCTTTGCCTTCATTAAGAAAGTGACATTGGCGTGAAAGGTAAAGGAGCGGGTGCTCTGCTTCGGGATGCTGGGTGTGAGTTACCGGGGTCACGGGCTGAGCTCGCTGGGGTCTGCTATGTTGTCCTCGCCGCCGTAATGCTTTCTGAAGTCTGTTCCCCCTGCTGAAGATGACCAAAACAGGGGTTTGAAGGTGTGGGACTTTTTGCAGCTATAAGAAAACTTTTTCAGTGCTATTGTAGAAGTTTACTTCATTTTGAAATGTGTTATTTTGTATTACTAACAGAGGTACAAAATGAATTTCACGCAAGTGTGAAGCCCCTTTAGATACAGTGAGGTGGACTGTTTCCACGGCAGCAGTAGCATGGTGCCATGCGCCACACTTGGGAACGCAGAGGGCAGTGACATGCGGGGCAGAGTCTACCGTCAGCACGCCCCTGCCTGTGGAGGTACCGCCAGGGCGGGGCAGAAAGGGAAACCGTTTTCAGCTGCGGGTGCCTGGCCGCCTTTCTCCCGCACAGTCAGCTGGAGCTGCGGTCTTTGGCAGTCAGGCTCCTCACACTCACTTCCCGTGCGTCCCACCCCTCGGCACCAACAGCAAGGCCCGCTCCTCTCACTTCGCCAGTTCAGCTGCTTCTTCCACTGGCAGAAACACTGCTTTAAAGATTTTGCTTTGGGGCTGGGGTTTAGCTCAGCGGCACAAGTGCCTGCCTGGCAAGCGTGAGGTCATGAGTTCGATCCCTGATACAAAAAAAAAATTTACTGTGTTGCTATTTTTTCCTGAAGAATTCTGCCCACCTCTCTGTCAAGGTCACCATCACATCTCTGACATTTTTAGTTTTTGTGTTTTCTTGCTAAATTTTAAGTTTTGGCCTATCTCGGATGAGTTTTGATGTTTTAAAGTTTGTTTTTTCTACAGGATATCTTAAAACAGTCCTCAAAAGTTTTGAAACTGTGTTGGGAAAATTAGCTAATTTTATCAGCTAATTTGCTGTTGTTAATATTTTGTAAAGCAGTTTACTATTACAGCTACTTGATATCCATTTGGATATGCTCTCCCCTAGGAACTGTCTTGACTCTAGATTTGTAACTGGTTACACTGGAAAACAGGTGAGGATATTATTCCCAACACTCCTTTTGGAGGGGAAGAAGCTGAGAACCAGAAAGTTGAAGCAGTTGTCCGTGATCATAGAACTCTGTAGCCACAAAGAAAGGACTACAAGCCAGGCTTGTCTCCTGTGTTACCCATCTTCACTCTGTCCTCCTGAGTCCTGGCGTAATGGAGGCTCTTCAGAAAAAATTACTTAACTCTTACTTTAATTAGGCATTAATTTGATCCAGTAAACAATTTCCAAATGACCTGGCATCTTGATACTTAATTATATTTCTTCTAGGTGTTGTTAACCAAATCGCATGTCATTCACTTAGAGACATTTTAGACTTCTGTGTGAGCCTTCAGGTTAAATGTCAGTCATCTAGAACAGTTCAGTTCTTTGCAAAGTGTAACCAAGTTGATTCTGAAGCATGACTTGAGCAGTGTCTCAGACTTAAATTGTGTTACGGCTTCCCATTTAGATGATGTCACTATTTGTAAGTAAATGAGTTGCACTTGATTGACTTTTTCAGCGTGTCTTATAAGAGTAGGGAGAGCTGCGCTGATGTCGTAAATATGCCCCACTTCTTTTCCCTCACCCCATTTTATTAACAGTCTGCACATACTAATTTCAGTTACCTTCAAGTTAATGTTTAGGAGTCTGTCTTGCCAAATGATACGATAAGCTAGTTTTCAGGATCAGGTAGCTCTGCAGCACTCACATTATTTGGATTATCAATCAGATTCATGATGAATGAACAAAAATCTTAGTAAGCTGATCTTAGCCAAAGGCTAAGAATCCTAAGGGGGACATTTTTCTGTTATATGTTAAAGAGTTAAATATATTACAAGATGTTCCTAGCTGCCTCATGACTGCTTCGACCTAACAACCTGTCACGCAGACTTAGGGCCTCCATTCAGACTTAGGATGCAGAAACGCGAGGACCAGTGTGGCTGTATGGTGGCGGCTTCTGCAGTGCTGTGCTGTAATTCTTGCTGACTGTACTGTACAGTACAGTATAGTACTGTAGTTTAATATTGGACAGGTTCAGTACTGCATGTTATGCAAATAAAATCAAAGTCCTCAAGTTGGCATTTCCTTCAACCATTTCTTGTTTAGTGGCCAATCCATTTAATGACCTAGTCTCAGGAATAGGACTTGCTCATTAAATGAGGAATGTCTGTATACCAAGCAAACACTAATTAAAGAGTTAGTGTAGCTGTGGTAATATCAGACATTAGGCATTAAAAGGTCCCTATGTAATGCTAAAATATTTCATTTACAAAAAAGATAGAAAAAGTCTACTACCATAAACATCTATCATAGTAAGGAGCCACATATATATGGCCACGGAAAGTTGAGGTTCGGATCTGAGCCAACAGAGAAGAGCCACGTCATGATTTTGCGTAGAGGAAAGTAACTTTATTTTAAAAGTACAGCAGATGTGAGCACAGTGCAGTAACACATCACCACACCACGAGGCCAGGGACAGCACCGAGGGTGAAAGGGAATCCTCTGGGGAACATTCTTGCGTGAGACGGGGCCTTCGCAGGGAAAACACCAGCACTGCACCCGGTTTGTTAGTTTCTAAGGACGGTGTTCAGACAAAAGTGGGTTGGTGCCCACGGCCTGAGAGCAGAGTGTCCCGGGCCTGGCTGGAACCCGGGACACTGTCAGAGCGCACTCAGGGCCTTGTGTACACGACCCTTCCTTCCCAGGGGAAACAGCAGTTTCCCTGCAGAAAGGCGGGGCCAAGGTCATTTCAGCCCACACCTGCATCTCAGCCAGCGCCTTACCCTTAACCCTTTCCCCAACAGCGTATGATGACAGTGTCAGAATACATAAATCAGTTGAGTAGTCTCCCCTTGTCTGTGAAGGGCACCTTCCACAGTGGGTGCCTGAAACCACGGAGAGCACTAATCCCTCTTCACACGGTCCTTGCTTACAGTGATTCCCCTTAAGGTTTTTTGATACTAGAGTGGTGCAAAAGCAGCATAGATGTAGTAGAAGTAATGTTTTAAGGTTTGATCTGTTCTTGGGATAGCAACGCGCATCAGTTTGTTCTCATGTGATGCTGGGCAGCCAGAGTGCGCTGCAGCTCCGTCAACCACAGACAAAGAGGACCAAATAGCCATAGTACCCTGTAATGTAGCTGCTTTATTTTTTCAGTGTTGGGTTCAAACCCAGGATGTCATGAATAGCAACACAGAAGTGCTTACAGTATTCAGAGTTGATGGTAGTGTTTGTTTCTGGGTTCACACTGAGTTTGCACAATTTTATCAAGGTTAAAAAACAGTACCTTGATGGTGATTTTTTTTTTTTTTTTGTACCAGGTATCAAACTCACAACCTTGCTCTTGCCAAGCAGGTGCTTGTGCTGCTTAGCTAAATCCCTGGACCTTGATTTTGGATCTTAATTGATACTTTTTTGCACAGGTGATTTCCATGGAGAAACTGAATCTCGGTCTCAAGATAATCATAAAACCAAATGTTATTTCTGTGATGACATTTCTTAAACATCTGGAATTGAAAGTGATGCAGTTGCACAGCTCCAGTGACATTTATTGTGTGTGACCTGTGATTGACAGCTTGTTCTAAAATACAGCTTCTCTCAGCAATACCTTACGACTGACTGGCGGCCCTGATCAAGCTGGAATTTGTCACATGCTCTTGCTAAAGTTCTGTACATGACTTCTCATAGTGAAGACCCCTGCCTTTCCGTGAGATGGCTCCCTACAGCTGCACTCATGATGGCACCTAAACATCCTGTTTGGAGAAATGTCTGTTTAGCTAATTACCAATTTTAATTGGATGATGATGATGGTGATTTTGCTGTTGAGTTCTGTGAGTTCCTTAATATATTCTGGAAGTTGATTCTTGTAAGATGAGTAATGTGCACATATTCTCTCCCTTTCTGTAGGTTTCCTCTTAACTCTGTGGATGATTTGCTCTAGAGAAGCTGTTTAGTTTAACGTGATTGAATTTGTCAGTTTTTTCTTTTTTGCCTGAACTATTGGAGTCTTATTGAAACATAACTGCCGAGACCAGTTTCCTGAAGTGCTTTCTCTCTGCTTACGTGTAACACATCATAGTTTCAGTTCTCAGATGTTAAGTCTTTGACCCATTTTGAGTTGATTTTTGTATATGATAAGAGATAGTAGTCTAGTTTTCTTTTAATACCATATGAATATCCAGTTTTTCCAGCAACATTTATTGAGGAGATTTCCTTTTGCACCATATATTCCTGCAGCCTTTTTCAAAAAATCAATTAGCTATAAATACCTGGGTTTATTTCTTGACTCTCTGTTCTCTCCCATTGGTTTATATGTTTCACTTACCTGAATATCATACTGTTGTGGTTACAAATGTTTTGTAGTAGGATTTGAAAGCAGGCATTGACATGCCAACAGCTTTGTTCTTTTTGTTCAGGATTACTTTAGCCATAGATATCTTTTGTAGTATCATCCAGATTTTGAGGTTTTTTTCTATTTCTGTGAAGAATTTCATTGGAATCTTGATGGAGATTTTAATGAGCTGTAGATTACTTTGCTTAGCAGGGGCATTTTAAAGGTATTGATTCTTGTATTCTTTACATATAAAAAAAATCCCTATAATTTTCATTGTAGAGACCATCCACGTTCTTGGTTAAATTAATTCTAACAGTCATTTTACTTCTTTTGAGGCTCTTGAGAATGGCGTACTTTCTTTAGTTCCATATTATTAATTTTCTTTAAAAAGCTACAGACCTTTTTATGTCTCTGCCTAAGGCTGTTCTGCAGAGAAATTGTGGCTCCTTGTCTGTGTCCTGCATTCTGCAAAGCTCACCTGATGTCTAATGTGGCCTGTTGGACCTTGTGAATGTCTGTCTGAATGGCAGATGCTTGCTGTTGGTGGTTCAGCAGGGAGGGCAAGGTACACGACCATGAAATTTATTCTAGATTAAAAATGAGAATTTTTAGAATATATGAAAGAATTGTTTTTGTTACTCTGCCTAGGGAAGAACGTATTAAAACTTACATTTATATGTTATTCAAAATACCAATTAATTCATTAGAATTTAATATAATCTATAATGTTCATACTATTGCTAAAATAATTTTACATTTCATTAAGTGTTTATTCATGTTTCATCTTGCTCAGCAAAACTACTAGGTTTAACAGGAGTTAAAGCATAACAGCAGTTAAAGCAACTACCAGGTAGTTGCATGAATCTTTATATTAACTTATGTTAAAAAAAATAATTGTGTTTGGGTCCATATTCTGTAATAATGGTCGAATCAGTGCTTCCTGGGGCTACAGAGTCTTATGAAATTAAGCAAAACTTACATACACAGATCACACACACTAGCAGGACAGATAAAGATTATTAAAATTGAAATTATTTTTTTCTTTTCTTTTTTTTTTTGAAGGTAGTAAAAATACAACAGAACAAGACAGAACAAAGCCAGTGGAGACCATGCAGTGAAACTGGTTCAGAACTTCACAGCAGGACACTGGGATAAGGGTAATAGGTACCATAGTACATCCCATTATCTTCACAATAGTTGTCTAGTCAATTAGGTATAGTGAAATCAAACCAAAAGCAGAACATTATAAAAACCATTCGAAAGAGAATATTGAATAGAGTAAAAACAATTAATTGTAATGAAACAAAACTGTGAAAACAATCTTTGCCTTCAAACAGAAGATGGAAGGGACTCCCCCATATCTGCTATATTGCATACGGTCATCCTCCCGAGAGATGCTCAGTCCTCTGTCCCCAGGTGCTAACGGGGTGAGGTGGCGGGGGGTGGGATGCTTGACTACCAGCCTGTGCACCGTCGGCTCACAGGAACCCCTAACTGGCCTCCTGGCTCGTGCGAGGGAGGCGCTTACCAAGAGGGTGGCCGAATTGTCTTCCTGTGCAGCTGCCTGGGTTCCAGCATGGCCGAATCTCGGAAGCCGGTGACTGGGTCCCCTCCTGGCTCATGCCAGAGGGAGAATCGAAATTATTACTGACACTTCAAAAGGTGAAAGGACGGAGCTTACACTGTGACAGGAGATCCTGTGAGAGAGGTGGAGAGCATGAAGTGAAGGCGGAGGATGAGGCAGGCCAGAACTGCGGACCGAGCGTTGGGCCTTCCCTTTCATCCTGTAGGCCCCGGCAGCGTCCCCCACCGTGGGCTCTGTGTTACAGGAGCTTACACTGTGACAGGAGATCCTGTGAGAGAGGTGGAGAGCATGAAGTGAAGGCGGAGGATGAGGCAGGCCAGAACTGCGGACCGAGCGTTGGGCCTTCCCTTTCATCCTGTAGGCCCCGGCAGCGTCCCCCACCGTGGGCTCTGTGTTACAGGAGCTTACACTGTGACAGGAGATCCTGTGAGAGAGGTGGAGAGCATGAAGTGAAGGCGGAGGATGAGGCAGGCCAGAACTGCGGACCGAGCGTTGGGCCTTCCCTTTCATCCTGTAGGCCCCGGCAGCGTCCCCCACCGTGGGCTCTGTGTTACAGGAGCTTACACTGTGACAGGAGATCCTGTGAGAGAGGTGGAGAGCATGAAGTGAAGGCGGAGGATGAGGCAGGCCAGAACTGCGGACCGAGCGTTGGGCCTTCCCTTTCATCCTGTAGGCCCCGGCAGCGTCCCCCACCGTGGGCTCTGTGTTACAGGAGCTTACACTGTGACAGGAGATCCTGTGAGAGAGGTGGAGAGCATGAAGTGAAGGCGGAGGATGAGGCAGGCCAGAACTGCGGACCGAGCGTTGGGCCTTCCCTTTCATCCTGTAGGCCCCGGCAGCGTCCCCCACCGTGGGCTCTGTGTTACAGGAGCTTACACTGTGACAGGAGATCCTGTGAGAGAGGTGGAGAGCATGAAGTGAAGGCGGAGGATGAGGCAGGCCAGAACTGCGGACCGAGCGTTGGGCCTTCCCTTTCATCCTGTAGGCCCCGGCAGCGTCCCCCACCGTGGGCTCTGTGTTACAGGAACTTACACTGTGACAGGAGATCCTGTGAGAGAGGTGGAGAGCATGAAGTGAAGGCGGAGGATGAGGCAGGCCAGAACTGCGGACCGAGCGTTGGGCCTTCCCTTTCATCCTGTAGGCCCCGGCAGCGTCCCCCACCGTGGGCTCTGTGTTACAGGAGCTTACACTGTGACAGGAGATCCTGTGAGAGAGGTGGAGAGCATGAAGTGAAGGCGGAGGATGAGGCAGGCCAGAACTTCGGACCGAGCGTTGGGCCTTCCCTTTCATCCTGTAGGCCCCGGCAGCGTCCCCCACCGTGGGCTCTGTGTTACAGGAACTTACACTGTGACAGGAGATCCTGTGAGAGAGGTGGAGAGCATGAAGTGAAGGCGGAGGATGAGGCAGGCCAGAACTGCGGACCGAGCGTTGGGCCTTCCCTTTCATCCTGTAGGCCCCGGCAGCGTCCCCCACCGTGGGCTCTGTGTTACAGGAACTTACACTGTGACAGGAGATCCTGTGAGAGAGGTGGAGAGCATGAAGTGAAGGCGGAGGATGAGGCAGGCCAGAACTGCGGACCGAGCGTTGGGCCTTCCCTTTCATCCTGTAGGCCCCGGCAGCGTCCCCCACCGTGGGCTCTGTGTTACAGGAGCTTACACTGTGACAGGAGATCCTGTGAGAGGTGGAGAGCATGAAGTGAAGGCGGAGGATGAGGCAGGCCAGAACTGCGGACCGAGCGTTGGGCCTTCCCTTTCATCCTGTAGGCCCCGGCAGCGTCCCCCACCGTGGGCTCTGTGTTACAGGAGCTTACACTGTGACAGGAGATCCTGTGAGAGAGGTGGAGAACATGAAGTGAAGGCGGAGGATGAGGCAGGCCAGAACTGCGGACCGAGCGTTGGGCCTTCCCTTTCATCCTGTAGGCCCCGGCAGCGTCCCCCACCGTGGGCTCTGTGTTACAGGAGCTTACACTGTGACAGGAGATCCTGTGAGAGAGGTGGAGAGCATGAAGTGAAGGCGGAGGATGAGGCAGGCCAGAACTGCGGACCGAGCGTTGGGCCTTCCCTTTCATCCTGTAGGCCCCGGCAGCGTCCCCCACCGTGGGCTCTGTGTTACAGGAGCTTACACTGTGACAGGAGATCCTGTGTGAGAGGTGGAGAGCATGAAGTGAAGGCGGAGGATGAGGCAGGCCAGAACTGCGGACCGAGCGTTGGGCCTTCCCTTTCATCCTGTAGGCCCCGGCAGCGTCCCCCACCGTGGGCTCTGTGTTACAGGAGCTTACACTGTGACAGGAGATCCTGTGAGAGAGGTGGAGAGCATGAAGTGAAGGCGGAGGATGAGGCAGGCCAGAACTGCGGACCGAGCGTTGGGCCTTCCCTTTCATCCTGTAGGCCCCGGCAGCGTCCCCCACCGTGGGCTCTGTGTTACAGGAACTTACACTGTGACAGGAGATCCTGTGTGAGAGGTGGAGAGCATGAAGTGAAGGCGGAGGATGAGGCAGGCCAGAACTGCGGACCGAGCGTTGGGCCTTCCCTTTCATCCTGTAGGCCCCGGCAGCGTCCCCCACCGTGGGCTCTGTGTTACAGGAACTTACACTGTGACAGGAGATCCTGTGAGAGGTGGAGAGCATGAAGTGAAGGCGGAGGATGAGGCAGGCCAGAACTGCGGACCGAGCGTTGGGCCTTCCCTTTCATCCTGTAGGCCCCGGCAGCGTCCCCCACCGTGGGCTCTGTGTTACAGGAGCTTACACTGTGACAGGAGATCCTGTGAGAGGTGGAGAGCATGAAGTGAAGGCGGAGGATGAGGCAGGCCAGAACTGCGGACCGAGCGTTGGGCCTTCCCTTTCATCCTGTAGGCCCCGGCAGCGTCCCCCACCGTGGGCTCTGTGTTACAGGAGCTTACACTGTGACAGGAGATCCTGTGAGAGAGGTGGAGAGCATGAAGTGAAGGCGGAGGATGAGGCAG